TTAACTCCCATTCTACATCATTTTCATTGCTATTTTGTTTTTCCGCCTTTTCCGCCTTTTCCTCCTTTTCCTCCTTTTCCTCCTTTTCACCCTCGACAGAAACAAGCTCAAAGGAATGAATACTGCTAGCTTTTTTATCAAAATCAAACGAGTTACTTGCTTTAAGATCAATTGCTGAACTTTCCATAATACTGTTAATTTTACCGTCATCTTCACCGGTAGTATCATTAATTTGATGTTCATTTTCATTCAAATTCCCATTTTGAATCTTGGTCGAATCTTTGGATGACAGATCTGAGTTTTTATGATTTTGCGCTTCTTCATTATCGATATTTGTCTCGGGTAAGGATGAGGATGATGATGATGATTTTGTTGTGGGTGATGTTTCTTCTTGTTTTGCTGTTGTGGGTGGGGTTTCTTCTTGTTTTGCTGTTGATAATGGAGCAGCAGCAGCATCATCAACAATTGAATTTGTGACTTCGTTTCCAGATGATGTTGACGATGATGGCACCAATGGTTTTTCTGTATCCGAATTATTTGAATTTGTGATATTTTCAGAATTTGGTTTCTCTTCATCCTTCTCATCATCCTTCTTTTCTTCCTTTATCGTTTCTCCTTTTTCTGATGGTGTTTTCAAAGAGTTATGCTTATCCTTTGTTTGGGAAGAAGATTTTAGCTTTACGTTATCAGAGTCGAGCTTTTTTTTTGACTTTGACAAATCGTCATCTTCCTCCATCGGGTCTTCTATGTTTGTATTATTATTCTCCTTTTCTTCATCAGAAAATTTCAATCCTTTATTAGCGGAAGCAGCGCCATCCTCAAATTTTCCTCCTGCTTCTCCATTTCCATTAACAGTTTTGTTATCTTTTTTAAGTCCCCATTTCAGGAATTCAAAGACCGATTCGATGGCCATACCAGAGGTATATTCATGCTTGATGTGTCCTTAATAAAAAATTTAATGTTAATGAAACGAGAAATAATATTGCAAGTAGCAAATCAAATAGAATAACAATAACCAATTAGTCACAAAAAAAAATTCACCTGCTGAAACACATTTACATCCATAATACCGATTAGCCTCTTTTATCGGTGTATCAAACGGAAGGTTGGATTTAATCCAGTTATATGTATTTTTTCTGAACCATTCTTGCGAGTGTGATGGAACCATCCCGGCACTGTGTACACTATCAGTGAGCGCGACCACTTTTACTCGAGTTCTGAATTCATCCTCTAAATTTATAATATATCAAATGTTGTTTAACGAACGGGGATCTCTACATGTCAAAATAAATATGTGCTCACGTACTTCTTTCATCCAGTAATGTTGTTGTACTAATCCCACCATAGCTATGAGCAACCATCAAGATCTTTTCAGCTTTAGCAGCCCTACGAAAATAAAAATAAATCGTAAACGCGCATTTAACATTTCAATTAGCATATCACCATAATGAGTATCACATTAATGACAATGCCTTATGAAATGGTCCCACACATAAAGTGAATGCTGTTGTGGCGACTCCGAGCCTGGTATGGGACGGCGATCAACAACCTAATTAATGAATTATTTGAATTTTGGGAAACGGAGAGATGGATCATTAATATAATTACTAAAAAGAAAAACGTAATAACAGAAAAATCCACTTACTTCACCCTCACGCATATAATTTCCCATATTTTCATTTGGATTAAATATTAGGATTCCCCAGCCTAATTCTTGAGCTTTTATGATGTATGGAAACATTGTACCGAGCTAATGTCATAAATACACAAATCACGGTGGTCAACCAATGTTCAAAATTAAATGTTAATTAATTTGATCAATAAATTCTCACCTCGAGTGAATCATTGATAATAACTATAAATATATCAAATATATACAATAGAAACTTAGAAAGCAAATGAGGTAAAGGAGGAAAAGGAGGAAAAGGCGGAAAAGGCGGAAAAACAAAATAGCAATGAAAATGATGTAGAATGGGAGTTAA